CGAGGCCTACAAGGTGGCCCAGAGACGCTGACTGTGCGAGGCCTACAAGGTGGCCCAGAGACGCTGACTGTGCGAGGCCTACAAGGTGGCCCAGATCTTGGTGTCGCTTCGAGCCGAGTGCTTTGTGTTTCTCGGGTCCTTCCTCCAAGAAGTGGACTCACTGTCCCGAGTAACCCTGGACCTCAGGGTGCTCACCTTCGTTTGCACTCGCTGCTCAGTCTGCTCTGGAGGCTTACCATCTGCTTGGTGCAGTGAATGCAGTCGTGCGCCTGCGGACATTCCCCCAGAGCTCCTGGCCCTGTGCTCAGCCAGCTGTCCAGTATTCCTTGTGGAGCGTGTTACTGTGAGGAAACACAGTTGGCTTGTGTGCACCAGCGTGCGCGGTGACAGAGCTGATGGACGCTCAGGTGCCAGCTCCACAGCCGGACTCGTAATCCGAGGGGACCGGACTCGTAAATCATGTTCACTGAACTTCCAGAATCAGTTTCCATAAAAGCGTCCTGCTGTAAATCTTCTGATGTCACTTGATACTCAGTTTATCAAAAAGACGAGTAAATGTGTCCCTTGTAGTACATTCCTCCTGGGCTAGGAAGGCATTGTGAGAGAATCCTAAACCTGGAAGGGCCTGTCAGGTGTCCGGTGGGACCTGGTTCTCCAGTTTCTAGTAGACACTCCCCTTTGGGAGACTGAGGGACATGAGGAGGAGACAGGCGTTCTCTCTGAACAGAAGGAAGAGTTTCTGTTCCTAATCGGGGTGTGTGTCACTAGTAAAATACGGTCTTCTCCTTGGGATGGAGACTCATTCCCTCATGCTGGGTAGCAGAGCCCACCTGCTGTATGTATCACACCGGTGAAAACATACGGGGCAGAACCCCTGAGCATTCTCACCCATGTTCCTGCGTACCAGGGACGTTACTTGGAAAGGCGTGCTTTCTGAGACGCTATAGCCGTCAGTTCATGAGGCTAGGAGTGCACAGAGGGTAGAGCCAGTGGGAGGGTAGCACTGAGCCCCCCAAACACAGGCACAAGTTCCTGCATCTTGTTATAGGCCAGAGGCTATGAGGGGCTGCTGAGTCTCCCCACCCCACCCCAGTAAAGTGTCCAGCATGTTGATGGAGGAAATGCCACCACTGAAGAATACAGTTGTGTGGGGTGGGGTGTGTCTTGGTTATCTACAGCTGCTGTAACAGAAATACCATGAGCAGGGGGCTTTAACAAACAGGTGTTTATTTTCTCACCGTTTCAGAGATTAGAAGTCCAAATTCCTGGGGTTGGCTCTCTCTCTCTCTCCCCCCCCCAGCTGCTGCTGCGAGGCCGCCTTCCTGAGGCGTGCCGTCACTGTGGCCCATCTCTGCTTGTTTAAGCCTTTCTCTCTCAAGAGGTGGACCCCAGACACACCCTACTTGTATGCAGCCTGTCCACCATAGCAAAGACAGCTCATCCTCAAATGGGATCAAAATCTGAGGCATCTAAAACCAAACCCAAGCCCAGTCCCTTCTAAGTCTCCGCCGCCTTGGAGGACAGTTGTTGTTGTGTGCTGTGGAGTTGGTTCCGACTCATAGCGACACTGTACAGGGTTTCCGAGGCTGTAAATCTTTACCAGAGCAGAAGTAGGACAGTAGGACTTCCTTCCCTGTAGGATACCCCAGACTGTCATCTTCTAAGCCTCCATGGCCTTGTAGGACAGTAGGATCCTACTGTAGGGTCCCCCAGATTGTCCTCTGTATGAAAGCAGCCTGCCACAGCTTCTCCTACAGAGCGTCTGAGGAGTTCTGTCTGCCCACCTCTCAGTTATCAGCCTACTGCTTAACCACTGCACGTCCTAGGCTGCTTACCACCGGCATAGAGGTTAGGGATTTCAGCTTGTGTTCTGAGGAAACAGGGTGAGGCATCTTAGGCTGTTGTTTGCTTCTAGCCCCTCTTGGAGCTGGCTGACATCCTGTAGTTGGTCAGCTGTGGAAGTGGCCGCATGCTCGTGTTCTAAACCACTGCCTTTTCTTGTCACCCTGACAGCTGGAGGAGAAGGCCCGCCTGGAGGCCGAGGCCCGGGAGCGGGAGCACCTGCATGTCCTGGAGGAGCAGAGGCGGCGGGAGGAGGAGGAGGAGGAGCGAATCAAGGAGGAGCTGCAGCGTCTTCAGGAGCTCCAACAGCTGCGGGCGGTGAAGAAGAAGAAGAAGGAGAGGTCCGCCAAAGACTGTCCCAAACTGAACTTGCTGGCTCGAAATTGTCAGGTCACCCCAGCATCTGTGCCTGGCTCGGAAAGCCTCCCCAATGGCTCCCTGGAGCCCACTGAAGAGCCAGAAACCTCCTCATCTCACTCCCCTTCCAGACACGAGAACCACACAGAGCCAAGGCCAGGCCCAGACACAGATGCCGCAGACCCCACAGACCCCACGGGCACCAGGGACTCCAGGCTTCTGTCCCGGAAGGTGGTCCACACAAAGCAGCACGAGTCCCTTTCTTTCCTCTTCGACATCATGCACCACCACAAGGAAGGGGGCAGCCGGGCGAAGCTCAGGCAGGCCAGCAAGGCCAGCGCCGAGCCCGTGAAGAAGCCCGTGGAGTGCCCCAAAGCCGCAGAGGCGCTGCCCAGAGCCAGGCCCCAGACTGATCCCAGGCCGAAAGCCGTGGACCTCACTGCCCTCTCGGAGCAGAAGAGAGACGAGAGGAAAGTGAGTAGTAACAGCAAGAAGCAGCTGAACCACATCAAAGACGAGCCCTCTTCTCCCACCACCTCTCCCAGCGAGTGTCAGCAAAATGGCAAGCTGGTCCTGGCGGATTCTCCACAGCCCAAGGGCAAGAGCAAGAAAAGCAAGAAGAAGAAAGGAGACAAAGTCAACAATTCAATTGGTAAATAGGGCACGGGGGAGTCTGCGGCCTATAGGAGGGAGACAGGTAAAGGGAGCACGCACTGGCTTGCCTCCAGGAGGAGGGGCTGCCCTGTCTATCTCTGGCTGTATGCCTGTGTGGTCTTTTCACAACAGTGTAGGACAAGTGGCCCTTGTTGCCCCAGTGGCTCTTCATCATTTTAGACTTAACGTAAAGCTACAGAAACTGTCCAGGGAACTCCGACACCCAGCACCTACACGTGGGCATGTTTGCTTCCCCTCTCCCCTTTTTTCTCGCTCTGGCTCTCTGTGAGAAGGGGTTGCAGATGTTTTACCTTATGACCCCTAGATACCTCAGTGAATTTCCTCAAAATGGGGACATTCTCATGGAAAAGCACAGTGTAGTGATCAAAACCAAGAAATGAGCATGGATACAATACGGTTCCCTAATTAGACCAGACCCACATGTCCCCACTTGTTCCATTGGTGTCCTTGATAGCAGAACATGGGCTATGCCACCGTGGGCTCCGACACAGAAAAGGGCCGAGGGCAGAGCAGGGAACAGGCAGTGTTTTGTTCGGGGTATGTGGGGTTGCAGGGCTCGGCACCGATCGATGACACCTAACAACAACCACAGTATCACTATTTTCCTGGCCAGGGAGCCCGTCCAGGGTCACCTGCTGTATCTCTTCGCCATGCCTCCTTACTCCCCTGTAATTCTGATTGGTTCCTCAGGCATTCTTTGCTTTTCGTGACCTTGGTGTTTTTGACTAGTATAGCCATTTGTGTTTTATAAAGTCCCTCAAATAGGTGAGATGTCGGGGCAGTGATCCCTAAAAGGGGAGAGGGATGTGTTTTTCTCAGTACTTTGTGCCAGGAGAACACAATGTCTTGTCTGTCCCTTAACCAGAGATGCTGATGCGGACCCTTTGCTGGATGAGGGTCTGTGGGCCACTATAAAGTAACTGTTTCCTCTCGCTAAGTAGTAAGGCGAGGACTCGACCACTCATCCATTAAGATGGCCTCCCTTCATTAGTCTTGCCTCAGGTGGTTGGCATTTCCTTGTTGACGGGTGGTGGCTTGTCTCGCACTCCTCCTACCTTCCACTCATGTTCTATAGTGAAGCTTTCCTTCTGCACATTTTCCTTTTCATTCATTTACATGTTTCAGCATGGATGCTATAGATTGAACCCTTGACTCACACGTTTTATCTGGATGTTGACGATGTCCCAGGCTTGGTCAGTGGGCACCTGATGAGTCCCCTGATAGCTCCCGTCTTGTTGACATGGATCTCTCATCTTGCCCTTGGCAGTCCCTGCCCTAGAATCAACTGTCTATCCTGTAGTTGAGAGTGGGCCTGGGTCGAGGTCTGGACGATGCAGGTGTGTCGGTGTGCCTCACAGTCAGCAGAGCTCGACATGCATCTCCATCGGTGTCTGTATCTCATTCCCATACTGAAGGCATTGAGCCTGCACCGATACTTCTCATTCCACCCCAGTCCCACAGGACTGGTGGCGTAAACAGCTAAGAGCTCAGGTGCTATCCAGGAAGGGTTGTCCAAACCCACCCAGCTGCTTTGCAGGAGGAAGACCTGGCAGTCAGAAAGATATCCAGCCAAGGAAAGGCAATGGGGCAGGTCCGCTCTGTCATGTGGGGCTGCTGCCAGCAGGACTGCAGAGCGCCAGGGCTCCCTCTAACCTCCCGTCCTCATCTGGAGCTCCTTTCTCCTACAGGCTCCCCTTGTCCAGTTTCTGAAGCACACCCCCTCCTTCTCCACTCTTGTTCAGCATTTGCTCTCAAAGGGTCTTCTCCACTTCAGCCTGAGAGAGGCAGTTTCTGAACTGTGCCCCCTTACTTACCTGGTCCTCTTCAGCCTGCACATGTGTTGTCACGACACCACCCACCACCGTGCTGGGTGATGGGTCGTTTGGATTACCCTCGCTTATCTCGGTACACTTATAAGCTTCATTTGAAATGAAGCCGCCTTCATCTGTTTTTGCCCATTTTGGCTCTGGGTCTCACTGACCACACCCTGATTTTGCTCTGCCTCATTCCCACCCACCCATGTAGGTAACTAATCAACTATTTTCTCTCTCTTTCTCTTCTCTCCTTCTCTCCCTCTCTCCCTCTTTGACATAAAGGTAACATATGTGGATACTGTTGCCCCTTTGCTTTTTTTTCCTGCTTAGTATGTTCTGGAATGCTCTTGGTCACTTCACAAAGACCTTCCTGAGTCTCAAAGCTACATAGGACTCGCCCCTAGTTAGACTGCCAAGCAACACCTTCCTGGCACCTCACGTTGGTGGTTTCCAGACTTGTCCTCACCTACAGTGCTACAGTGCTTCCTTCTAGGGTGGCTATTGTAAATGGCATTGTTTTCCTAATTTCCTTTTAAAATCTCTATTTAGTGTAAAGGTATCCAGTGATTTTTGTATGTTGATCTTGTGCTCTGCCACTTTGCTGAGTCTTTGTGGTTTTCCGTGTGTAGTATCATATCACCTACAAATAGAGAGTTTTACTTCTTTGTCAATTTAGGTGTCTTTAACTTCTCTTCTTGCTTTATAGATCTGGCTAAGACTTCCAACACTCTTATTTAAAAAAAAGGGCATCCTTGTTCTCAAGGGAAGGCCTTTCAGTTTCTCTCCAGAGTAATGTTGGCTGTTGGTTTTGTATGTTAAGTGCCTTGGAGTCGTTTGTTTCTAGGGTTTCTCAGGAGTAGCTATTGGGTTTGAACTGCTGGTCTTGTGGTTAGCAGTTGAGTGCTTATTCTATAGCACCACACGAGGACTCCCGTAATTTTTTAAAGGAATTTTCCCTGAATTCATATTCTGCTGAAAGTTTTTATCAGGAAGGGGTGTTGGATTTTTTCAAATGCTTTTTCTGCATTAGTCAATATGATCACATGGTTCTTTTCCTTTGTTTATGTGGTAGACCATGTTGGTGGTTTTTCTAATCTTAAACCATCCTTGCATACCTGGTATGAATCCCACGTGTGATTATGATGCATTATATTTCTGGTGAGTTGATAGATTCTTTTTGATTGGATTATGTTGAGAGTTTTTGCATTGGCGTTCATGGGTGATACAGTTTTCTTTTTTGTAATGTCTTTCTTTGGTTTAGGTATCAGGGTTGTGCTGCTTCATAAAATTCATCAGGGACTTTTCCATCCTTGTCTGTGTTCTGGAGCCATTGATCATTTGCAAGAATTCACCAGAAAAGCCATTGGGAATGTTGGCTTTTAAATTTAGGTGGGAGTGTGTAATGACCTGATCAATTTCTTCTTTTGTTTTAGGCCTATTCAGGTTTTCTGTCGGTTTTAGTTTAGGTTGGTCATGTATTTCCAGAAATGTGTCCATTTCTTGTAGGTTTTCAAATTTGTCAGAGTATAATCCTTTATAGTATTCTGTTGGTTCTGTGACATCACTCATATCATTTCTTATATATGTTATTTGCATTTTCTCCTTCTCTTTGGTTAGATTTGCTTGTTGGTTTGTCGATTTTATTAATTCTTTCAAAAAATCAACTTCTTGTTGCTTGTTTCTATTGTTTTTCTGCTTTGTTTCATTTATTTCTGTTCTTTCCTTTCTCCTTTCTTCTGGTAGCTGTAGGCTTGTTTTGCTGCTCTTTTTCCGTTGACACTTTAATCATGACGTAATGCCCTTCTTTGTCTCTTGTACCAGTCTTTTCCTTCAAGTCTGTTGATCAGAAATTAATATTGCCACTCTGGCAGTATTGGTATCGTCATGCCTTGCTTCCCAAGAAAGCCTAGAGATGTCATCTCTGGGATTATGTTAAATTTATAAATGAAATTGGAAAGAATTAATATCTTTAGCCGTTGATCTATTGGGATGGCATCTGTTTAAGTTTATGTCTTTCAGGAATATACTAAGTTTTCTCTCATAATTGGTTTCAGTTTATTAGTAAGTGGTTAATAATCCTTGTTTCTGTTATAAATGGGGTCTTGTGTGCCATTACATCTCCTAGTATGTGTCACTATATGGCACTTGCATTCCTGCTGATTCGTGTTGACATGTGTGGTGTTGTTGTTAGGTGCCATTGAGTTGCTACCGACACATAGTGGCCCTGTGCACAACAGAATGAAACACTGCCTAGTCCTGGACCAACTACACAGTCATTGTTACGTTTGAGCCCATCCCTACTGTCACTATGCCAAGCCATCTCGTTGGGGGGTTGGTCCTCTTTTTCTCTGACCCTCCACTTAACCAAACATGATATCCTTCTCCAGGGACTGGTCCCTCCTGACAATACGTCCGAAGTATGAAAGATGAAGTCTGGCCATCCTGGCTGTCAGGGAGCAGCACACTGGCTGTACTTCTTCCAATACAGATCTGTTGGTTCTTTTGGCAGTCCATGGTACTTTCAATATTCTCTTCCAACACCAGAACTCAAATGCATCAGTTCTTCTACAGTCTTCTTTATTCACTGTCCAACTGTTGGCACATATATGAAAGTTTGAAAATACCATGACTTGCTTGGGTCAGGCGCACCTTAGTCTTCAAACTGACATCTTTGCTTTTGAATACTTGGAAGAGGTCTTGAGCCGCAGATTTGCCTGATGCATGTAGTACGTTGTTTGGTTTCTTGACTGCTGTGTCCATGAGTGTTGATGGTGGATCTGAGCAAAATGAAGTCTTTGAAAACTTGAGTCTTTTTTTCTTCCTATATATGGATATTTATTGGCCCAGTGGTGAGGATTTTTGTTTACTTTACGTTGGGATGCAGCCCTTACCAAAGGCTGTGCTTGCGCTCTGATTTTCATCAGTAAGTATTTTAAGTCCTCTTCGCTTTCAGCAAGCAAAGTTGTATCATCTGCGTGTCGCAGGTTAATGAGTCTCATACTACATTCTTCTTCATATAATCCAGTTTCTCCAATTTGTTCAGCGTACAGATTGAATAAGTATGGTGAAATAATGCAACCCTGTCACACACCTTTCCTAATTTTAAGTTTATCAGTGTTCCCTTTTTCTGTTTGAACAACTGCCTCTTGGTCTATGTCCAGAT